ACACACGACACACACACACACACACACACAGTTCTCTTACATACACCCTCGGGGATCAATCCGATGTCAAACTATCTCCAGTCCGTGTACCGGGTCGCCGCTGGCTGCTCTGTCGCGTCATTACGCCGTCAGGGTGAGGGGGAAGGGGGAGGGACTTCGGAGGGGGAAGAAGGAAGGAAAGGGTAGGGTGGTAAGTCCAGGAAAGAGGGAACAGGGTGACTATGGAAAGAGAAACACACACACACACACACACACACACACACACACACACACACACACACACACACACACACACACACACACACACACACACACACACACACACACACACACACACACACAAAGTGGTGTGCGCCCCTCTGTTGAGTGGCGGGGACATGTGAGCTCCTTCACATTTGCTATTCTGGGCAGGGGAGGGGAAAACTGGGAGGGAAGCAGGGGGAAGCAGGGGGGAGTAGAGGGTCTTTTCTCTTTCTACATGTGGCTGAGCCATCGTGAGGAGCTGCTCATGATTTTGTCTCGTGTTGTGTAGGCTCTCAGTGTGTGTGGCCATAGCAGTCTTGTTTTTTATTCCATCTTTAGGCCAAAGAAGATGGGGTGCTGCTTTAGTAAGGAGCTCAACCCTGGCCTGCCCTGCGAGAGGAGCAGTCTGTTACAGCCTCCGCTCCACGACGGGGTGAGTGAAGGGACAGACCAGGTCAGGCAACTTGCCGTGGCTGTAGCTCAGCATGTGTGCTTGGACGAAGAGGAGACGTGTGTGGCAGACGCAGTGGCCCAGAGGAAGCCTGCGGAAGATGAGGAAAGACATCCGGGACTGGACAACAAAGTTTGTAGAGAGGGGGCCGCGGTCAGCCGGGACATTACCACTCGGAGTAAGAGGGAACCTAAAGCAGCCGGCACTCACGGAGAGAAGGAGGCTATTATTATCACAAACATACATTCAAACAGGAACACAGAGCCAGACATGACACAGACTGCCAGGCCCAGCTGTGGCCCGGCTCCGTATATGGAGGTGCGCACACGGAGTCCTGCCGAACACAAGAATTTGGATAATGCCACTGTTAGGGCTATGTGGTTCAAACAGCTTCCAGAGGGGCAGAGGCCCAAACCGGCAAAATGTCGGTCAGCTCCTGCCAGGTTCCCCTCTCGCTCTGCTAACAACGTCACCGAGAGCGAGGTGTCAAATGACCCCCCGCTACCGGTCGGCGCGTACGAGGAGACGCAGCGGGATTCACCTGAAGCTGAGCTCAAGGAGGAGGAAGATGAGGAGGTCAGTGTCTTTGAAAAAAGGACCCGGAGTTTCTACAGCCTATGTTCCATTGACGCTGACGACCTTGAACATGACCACGACCCACAAACCCAAACAGCTGGCTTGGCACACTTGGTGCAAGCAGCTGAAGTAGAAACAGCTGTTCTGCCTTGCATAGTGGAGTCTCCAGTCTTCAGCCAATCACACGCAGAGGCCTCCACAGTCTGCCACCAGCTGTATATCACACAATCTAAAATGACCAGCCAGTCACATGACGAGGAACCAGCTTCAGTGCAATCGCACGCTGCGGGACATTCTACCGGCCTCACACATACACCCTCGGACAATTCACTCTCAGAGGAGGAGACTCTTCATCCTGTTGTTTCTCCACATATGGCGGACCCTCAGTGTGACACGCTGACCCCCTCCCAAGATCAGATAAACAGCGAGGAACGTCAGCCTGAATATTTCAATTGTCAGACAGCTGCAAAGGACAAAGATGAACCTAAGGATGACATGTTGATGACGTCACACACATGTCAAAGTGCATGCGAGGAGGAGGAGATGATGGTGAAGGGATCAGAGGAGTTGCTGAGTCTGTGTTCAGAGAGAAAGAGTGTGTACTTTAGGGACCACAGAGCAGAGGAAAAGTTGGATCAGAGTGTGGATGCTGACTTTAATACTCTTGAAATTCCTATGCATGAGTCTCACTCGTTAACAGAGCAGCATATCCTTGGTTCACCTCCAGCAGCAGAAGCTCTTGAAGCGGATACTTCCAGCCGCAGTCCTCCTGACCTCATCATCAATCCTCTGCACAAGGAGGGGGATGTTTTGCCTCCATCTCAAGGAGACATTGAGTTGGATAAGCCCTCCCTAAAGAGCCAGGCTACCCCCATGAATATCTGCAGAGGCCTGGGTGAGAGGGAGGATGTTGGTGACAGCGGAACAGCAGATACGACTTTCACCAATGTTTCCTTCGTCTCCACCAACTCTGCTCTGTCATCTCTGCCCACCGACTCCCCCTGCCATAACAATCTGACTCCTCTATCAGACAAACCCACATCTTACTCCATCACATTCGACAAATTAGATGTCAATTCAAATGACCCAACATTTGATTTGAGCAGCGTTAAGCCTCTAGATGTTAATGCTTCATTCACTGAGCGTAGTGATGTGAGGTTTGACGACAAAGAGCCTGACAGTTCTGATGTGAAACCTGAAGGTGTCCAGGTGTCCCTTAAAGATTTCTTAGATGAGACTCTTGCAGCTGTCCTCATGAAAGGGGACGACGGACAGACTGAAAAAAGAACAGAAGTCTGTCAGAGCAGCAAATCTGTTGAGAGAGGTGATGTTACAGATGTTTTTCCTGAAATGACTACTTCCTGCACTCCACCTCCTTCTCCCTCATCTCCATTCAAAACACTTGAGGATGCAGCAGAGCAAAGTTCATGTCCAGAGCCTGAGACTAATTCTACTGAGAGCAGACAAGTCCAACTTGAGGTAAACCCGTCCTTTAAAGTTGTTAGTGATACTTGTAAAGAAGGTGAGGAGACAACAGCTGCCCAGGGGATTGATGTGCAAATCAAGCATGAATCTGCAGAGAGAGTAGAACAGCCCCCCCTCGCTCCACCACCCTCTGAACTTGTTTCCTCTGACTATATCAACCCCAACATTGACACTGTAGAATGTTCACCTCAACCTGGTGATTTATCAAATGACATTCACTCAGGAGAAATTATTGCAACTTCTGCACTTGATTATTCTCCAGAAACTGCCAATATTTCAACCACTGAGACACCGACCCAAAGCATCATCTGTGACGAACCATACATGATTCCCAATGACTTCAGCTGTCCGGATGATTATGTCTCAGTTTCGCACTCCCAGGAGGACGACACCATGATCCCTATGGACATGGGTCAGGTGGATGTTTATGCCTCAACCCCCTCCTACGAGATACACTTCCTGGGTCAGGAGCCGCCGGCGACCACTGAGGAGGGAGAGCGGGAAGGAGGGATGAGGGAGATGGTGTCAGAGCTGCTGGGAGAAGACGCAGACTCCTCCGTCTGCCGCCTCTATCCTCAGCCCTGGATCAAGCTGGGTCTGGAGGAGACGTGCGGGGCGTGGGCGCAGGGAGCGTCGGCCGCGGAGCCCAGCCTGAGTGAAGGTCTGACGGGCTGTGACCTGGAGCACATCCCCGCCTTTGTCTCCGAGCTGCAGCCCTCTATGGCTCTGCTGGGAGCTTACCCCTGCAGCACAGTGATGCCTCAGGGACCCTGTCTGTGGGAATGGCAAACAAATTGCACTCAGTCTGTAAGTGTGAGACAATTGGGTTCAGTGAAAGCATACTGTTTGATGTGGACATTATATTGGTTTAATACTCTCAACTACACCTTTTGATATCATTTTGTCTGTTCTTGACATGAAATATCAGTTTTTAAGTGTTATATTCATTTGTTCTTTGTCACAATATATTGTTACACTTAAATACATCGAAATTAGCTTTTCATGTTAGAATAATATTGCTGGGTTTTCTTGTTTTCTTTCAGGGACCTGTTGCTGCCCCCAGCCTTAACCCTGAAGCTGAGGTATGGACCAATCACAACTTTAACTTGGACGTCCCTGGCCCCGCCTACCTGCAGGCTGAGCAGCCATGGCTGCAATTCCCCAACGATCTGACGAATCCGGAAGGTAGGCTGAAATAAAGATACTCCCTGTAATGTTAAATTAAATTGAGTTATTTATATAATACTCTTTTCCAGGAGTTATTTTGTGGAGAAAAAGAAGCTAAACAAATGATATGGTCTGCTTGCAAGTTATGGTTAGGGCTTGGTGGTAAGATGCTGTGTTTTTAGTATACCAGCCAGAGTTCCAACTGGAGAACATGTGCCTGGATGAGGCCGAGGTGGAGGCAGCTCCCAGCACACAGGAGTACCAGATGCTGCCTGTGGAGGACCCTGTGGTTAATGAAGACCTCATTGAACCAACAGTTACAGGTATCGATCAAATCTAGCCATTTTATTCTCCATTTTATATTTACTTTATTCATATTTTCTAAAGCAATGACTTTGTGGGCTCAGATATGGTAATAACTTTCTTTGTATTTCAGATGAGGCCAGGGAAGAGCTGAGGACAGTTTTGGAATCTTGCCTGACCAGGTAATGTCTCACTCAGAGTTCCCGTTAGAATCTTTTTTTGCCGGTAAAAATGTCCTTTAAAGTTTCAATCTTCCGGACAAAATGAGAAAAGTGCCGGTCAAAGGTCTTCTTTGTTATTTATTGAGCTTTAAAACAAATTGATATGATTCGATATTAAACAAAGTAATTATAGTAGATTAACTACATTATTCAAAAGGGTACAGTAATTTATAATAACATGGGAATAATAAACGGAGCGCTCTCTCCCTCTCCTGACAGCCCATCAGTATCATGCAGCTTGCGGATCCAGAGTGACCCAACAGTAAAACTAAACATATCTATAACTAGTTTAGGTAGTTTGAGAGGTAATTAAAATAGCTACGTGTGATATTCTAACCTGAAATGTGTGTTTTGTCCGCTCACAGCGGTGACCCGTCAGATTAGACTTTACTCGCGTTTATGTCCATATCGATCAGATCTAGCTAATGATATGACCACCTGCTTATTAAAAGACACCTAAACAATAACCGTCGCTATGCAACCGGGTGAGGCCACAAAGTATAGCGCAGCATTATGCATTTGTTTACATGCCCACCGGAACCCCGAGGCATTACCAACAGATCAACGCACAATCAACCCATACAGGACATCTCTTTCTCCATATTAAGTGTTAGACATTAGAATTGACTATTCTTGTCTGTCACATACTCTTTTGTCTGTCACATACTCTTTTGTCTGTCACATACTCTTTTGTCTGTCACATACTATTCTTGTCTGTCACATAAGGGGCGCAACTGATGCAGTATTGCGCTAAGGGGAAATTATTTTGACCGGAGAGATTTAGATTTGCCGGCCTTCAGCATATTTTACTGGTCATAGTTTTTTTTAAACTATTTTTCTTTTTTGTATTACTTTTAATATAATATACTTTAATATTGTTTTAATATTGTCTGCTTATCTGTATTATTGTGTTGCATTGTTGGAGAAGCCTGTGACCTAAGATTTTCAACGACATAATTACTCTGTAGCTATGTTAGTTTGACAATAAAGAACCTTGAACCTTGGTAATTACCGGCTAACGGGAACTCTGGTCTCACTATTATTCTCCAAAAAGCATGTCTTCAAATAATGAAAATGTCAAAATACCCAATTGTGTTGGTATTCTGGCTGTCATTGTGCTCTGTTATTTGACCTCTATTCCACTGAAAGCAATTGTCCTTGTCTCTTGAGGCGATTAATGTAATTGCTTTGTTTTGTTGGTATGTGGTCCAGCATGTGTGACACATTTAGAAACTCAAACTCAATAGAGATCTCTTCTTCTACCCCTGCAGGGAGTACCTTGGCAACGACCTGTACCTCAACTCTCAGATGGACAGCGACCAGTACGTTCCCATCTCAACTCTGGCCAGCCTGGACAAGATCAAGAGTCTCAGCACGGACCTGGACCTCATCGCGGACATTCTGAAATGTCAGTGTCTATTTCTACTCATGTGTCTGACTGAGCTTTTATTTAGGGTGAACATTTTACCACCCGGCAAATTCTGGTACTATCCTGCTGTTAGTCGTTTATTTAAACAACCACAAGATTTTTCTTTGTAATCTCAGACCCTTTTAAATCCAACAATCAATTAATTCCAGAAGATGTTGTAGTTAGGAGTGTTCTTTTGGTTGATAGTCGTCCTGAGACATGCTTTTCTCTCATTGGCCGACAGCCCTGCCCATGGTCCAGGTGACTCCGTGTGGACAGAAGGTCCGTCCCTGTCAGAGTCGATGTGTCGTCATCCTGCGTGAGATCCCCAACACCACACCTAAGGAGGCAAGAACCCACCTGACTCCTCCCCTCTACTGATACATTTAAGGGTTTTTAAATGAAAAGTCCACATCTGACAGATTTATATGACTGTTTTACTGCAGGAGGTGGAGGCTCTCTTTGATGGGGAGAACATTCCCAGGTTCCTGAGCTGTGAGTTTGTGAACAACGATAACTGGTTTGTCACTTTCAATTCTGAAGCCGACGCACAACAGGTAAGAAAATACTGCTAAACGCATTTTGATCTTTTGAATCAGTGAATTAAAGCTTTTGATGTTGGTAATTCGACAAAGACTACCTTGGTAATACAGACTAAGAAAGGCTATGCAGGGTTTCTGCGGGGTCTTAAAAAGTATTACAAGTTGATAAATCAATTTTAGCTAAAATTAAGGCTATTAAAAAGTATTAAACTGCATTTTCCAAGGTGTTACATTTTGTAGCTTGTTTTCAATAAGTATATCAATTGTCCAAAGAGGTTGTATTCTACAGTCTGCCTGAATGTAATCATTGCGTAGGTGTGTAGTGTGATTCTGTGTAGTTTATTTATGGCATCCCGTTGGATTTAACGTCATCTGAACAGGACATCGCGCGCTCACTGCTTGATAGCGCGCGAAGGTTGTTAAACAACATCGTTATGGGGAAATGCAAGTTTGCGTCCAAATGGTTGGAAGATAAGGAGGAAGGACAATCAATACTATATATAGTCAATGTGAGGTGAAGTGTGTCGCCAAGGTAACCGGTTAAAACTCAAAGTGGCGATGAGGCCTTATGGAAAGGGTCTTAAAAAAGGTCTTGAAAGGTATTACATTTGACTTCAGGATTCCTGCATATACCCTGGCTATGTCTCTGTCCATGTTTTAGGCCTATAGCTACCTCAGAGAAGAAGTTCGGGAGTTTAAGGGAAAGCCCATCATGGCGAGGATAAAGGCCAAAACCATGGCAGTCACTTCCTTCGCTCCAAAGAATGGCTTCACACCCAACCAGCTGGAGCAGAGTGCCAGTCCCTACAACTCCTACTACCCCCCCAGCAGCTTCCAGCAGACCTGCCCCACCCAGCAGCTGTTCGACTTCACCAATGAGGTGTGGAACCAGGATGCACCGGGATACCAAGAGTTTGCTGAGGTGAGTCCTTTTTGATGTTAAAAAAGAAGACATGAAGTTGTAGGGTTTGTTATTTTGTGAACATCGAACAGAGTGATAATAATTGTGTGCTCATGTTTTCTTCTCAGCAGCATCAAACCTTGATGAATGACTTCATGAACGGATTCTCCACCTTCAAACCTTACAACCCACACCGGCAGAGGTATCTACAAATTAGTTATTGTTATAATATGGGCTTTGCTAAGTAGTATGAATTTTTAAATCAGCGAATGCGGCGCAGTTTTTTTATTTTCTGCAGGTCTTTTTATTATATTTAAACCCAGTAATTCTGCACAGTGACAATTATAGGGATTAAGCACACTTAAAACATTTAAAAGGTGCATAAGGACAAATATGTTGTCATTTCCAAAATGTACCAATTGATCCAAAAATATATAGTAGTTGAAACCTCCATGAAAGCTGTTAAAACAATGACATTCAGTACGGCTTTTGTTAGGAGAAAGAAAGCTGCTCCCACTTTTCATTTATTTACTTTAAAAACATTTTGATGAGACTTGTAATGATGTGTTGAGTCAGTCACTTCTTAATCTTTGTGTAGATAAATAATAATAATAATAATAATGGATTACATTTTTTATTAGAGCGCTTTTACAGGTGCTCAAAGCGCTTTACAAATACACATTACACATATTAGACATGTAAGAGTTAATACTGTGGACATTACCCACAGGAGCAAATGCGGGTAAAGTGTCTTGCCCAAGGACGCAGTGGCGGCCGAGGTGGGATTCGAACGGGAGTTCACCAACGCCCCTTGATCTGATGACCAACGCTCTAACCACTGCGCCAAAACCGCCCCATAAACTCTATTTAATTTCTTCCAGGAGAGGCTCAAGGTGGTCAAACTCTGGAGAGCGTTGGCAGTCCAATCAGAATGATCCTTCAAACCCATCAGAGCAGGCATCAGCGGACCGCTCCTCTCCTCCCATGAGGCCGGGGCGGGGGCGGTCGCGGGGGAGCACACGCCGTCCCAGCAGAGGAGGGAGGACGGAGCCCAGCAGGCAAACTGCCTCGCCCACCTCTGATCGGGGAAGGTAAAGGAACATCCAGTCTGATTTAACAAGCTTGGGGACTCAAGTATATCTGTTCAGTCCTGTTATGAATAATCCTGGTTTGTATAACTGAAAGCTGCTCTGCTGTGTGTCTGAAGGAGAGGAAACTTCAGCCAGAGGAGGAGAGAGCACGCCAGGTCATGGGAGAAGTCTGGTGGCCGTGTAAGTAGCCAGTAGGTTGTAAGTGTTAGTGCATTTCTGTAAGTTGTGTATTAACTTGTGTGTGTTTGTGTAGAATGGACCGGGTCAGTCTCCTCCTCGTCAACCGTCTCCTCCTCCTGAGCTCGGGCTGATGAGCTTCCCTCCTCTTCCTCCAGCAAATGCTGCCATAGCAACGATGCCCGCAGCTAACGGCAACGTCAAGGTGACCGAGTCTCTCTGTCTGACACACACACACACACACTCTTTATCTGAGTCTCAAGGACAGTGTCTACTCATATTTAAAGCCCAGACTGTAAAACCTTGACACTGGTGTGTTCCTCTCAGGGTCCAGTTAAAAGCAGCAGCCCCCGTGCAGCAGCACCAACACTGTCACCAGAGCCTGAACTGACCTCAGAACAGTGAGTATCGCCGAGACAGCAGCTGGAGGAGGATTCTGCTTTGCCTAATCTCAATTATTACATTTACTGTTTCCTTTTACTAACAACATGCTAAGATCCACAGCACATGCTCCTCCAGTTTCTTTTTTCTTATGATATTTCCCAAGTGGACTTTATCAGTTTCCTGTTGTCATGGTGCCAGTAGTGATTTTTGTTTTGTTTGTGTCTGCAGCAATGTGAAGGAGTGTGCAGAGACGACCAGTGAGGACACACCAGCTCAGCTTCCAAAGGAAACGGTCACAGTAAGATTCTTTATATGCATTAACACTAGTATATGTATAAAATAACAACAGAGAAGTCCTGTATACTCTTACACTTAAAAAGATCATTGTATGTTGTTTGAAAGCCAATAATGTGGAGGAGTGTAAAAGTATGAAAGTCCTCACACTGTGCTCTGATTGGCCAGGAGTCCAAGAGGCCAAGCTACGCCCAGATCTGCCAGGGAGCGACCTCCAGCGAGTCGGTGGTGCCCGCTGACCTCGTCTCTTCAGAGGTGAAGCCCGTCCCAACCTTTCCGGGACCGGAACCAGCTCCATGTCCACGCTGATCAGCTCCATGTCCACGCTGATCAGCTCCATGTCCACGCTAATCAGCTCCATGTCCACGCTGATCATACTGGGTGGAGAAAAATACCCCCTTTTTTTTTTTGTCTTTAAAGGTGTCAAATAAGTTGAAAATGTATAATTGTGTTATCCCATCCTCAAACCAGCTTCACATGAGGAATAGTTAGTGTGTACAGAGTGATGTGGTGTCACTGGTGCAGGAAAATACTGCATTTAGCACCAAGCTAACTTTAAAGTCAACTAAATGTACATCTAGTTGTAAAACTAACCCTTCATAGACACAGCTGACAGTGTTCATCGTGTGGGGGGGGGGTCTGCTGAGCGGTTCAGGACAGAATGGACCGGTGCGGTACAACCCCTGGGGATATTTAAGCTTACTTTTCAATGTTAGGAGCAGCAGCTGTTTAGAATCTGTAAATGTTGATCTGCAATGTTTCTTTAGTTTTATTTCTTGGTTTGTAGTTCAGATTAGTTAGTTGAGGTATTGATTTAGTCTTGTTTTGCTGATGGCACTGGCTCTTTTTGTGTGTGTTTGATGTTTCCTCGCTGTACAGGATGTTCTGCCATGACTTTTTTTTCTCTCTAAATATTAGTACCAGTAACCCAGTTTGTTTCTATTTTCAGACATTTGTGTCATTCTGTAATGAACCACGGTCCAGTGTGTGTCAGAGTACAGGGAGGATCAGACCTCTGTATTGATTTGATCTTGATAGTCCAAGAATCGAATTGAACTTGAAAGTATTTTTCCCTTGAAAAGCACTGAATATTACTTCTTTATCTTTGCATGCGTTTTTTAAGTTTATTTTAGAATTTAATTTATGTCGTTTTTATAATTTATGTTAGATAGGAGTTCTTGTTTTGTGTTAAAGCTTTAGTCTCACTTGTGTTGATGTAGGGAAACTACTAACTGGGTGTGGTAGTTTCTCAGCGTCCATAAATGAGCACTGTTACAGCACAAACAGCTTGATTTGTATGTGAGAACTTCAATTTAAATTCGTCCAATGATCTTTTGTTTAAAATATGCATTTTTAAATGTAGAACAGTTGTCATGGAGAAAGAGCGGGTATGGTTGTGGCACATGTTATTTTGTTTGTACAGATGTACATATTTTGAACAAATATTAAAGTGCCTTTGAAGTTATAAATATGAGTTTGTTATGTGTTAATGATGCAAAGATAATGGACCAATCAAAGCTTTTCTTCCCCAGATCACACGCATACATAAAAGGTTTTATTTTTCCATTTGTGGGAAAGCCAAAAAATCCTACACGACATTTTACTGCTGTGAGTTATCTGCTGCAGACCCAGAGTTACAGCACTGTTTTTCTTTGGTGGCGGTACTGTCATATCTCCAGCAGATGGCACATGAGTCCCATTATAACGGCCTGTTCTGCATTATGTGGCACCACCACTTGTTTATAGAGGATGATTAGATTCCTGGAAGACTAGGCCTAATGAATGGGATGTATAATACTAATGAAATACGCTGTTTTAGATGGACAGATTGAGGCCCACTCATGCGCCACGGCCACATTAGGCCACAATCATACTGGACTTAATTAAAGGCCGCTTGACCTTTTCATATTAATCTCATTATTCTGTTGAGGTTTGGTTTCCACATGCAGATGCCCCATAATGAATGACCACATCTAAAGGCAAATCCAGAATCATAAAGGAGACAGGTTATCTGCAAAAAGAACATCACTGACCAATATTTGAAAACTATATGAACTACAGTTTGTGTAAATTAAAAGATCTCACTGTCAGAAGTTAGGTAAAATTAAGTCAACATTAGAGGAAGCAGGTAATTTCAAGTTATAGAACATTTCTAGTAATATTAGTTTATAATTCAAACAATACTGTCACTCTCAAAACAATGGCCAACATTTAGTAACCAATAAATGACCTCAAAGTGCTTGGATTTAAACAGAAAACTACTCCTCAACACCAAAGTACTTATTTAAAACTCCCTATTAAATAACAAAAATAATCCATAATTAATATTTTAAGTAAAGATAAACCAAGTGTATGAAAAAAACAACTAAATTCATAAAAAACCGAAATGGATATTGAAGCTATTTCATTTGTAAAAATCATGTTTCTGTTCTTATTTAAACTAAATGATTGTTATTTGAAGCTACACCGTCACTGTGCATGTAGGTGTGGTTGCTCGCTGCGCCCCCTGTCGGTGATGACCGGCACTACCGCCTTCCTCTGTAGAGTCACGTGACTCCAGCGGTAAGAAGCTGCAAACGGCTGCGCGAGCCTCATCATCATCATCATCATCATCATCATCACTACCACAACCTCCGCAACGGCAACGTAGAGAGCCGAGCGCGTGCCAACCGGGTCTTTAACGATTCAAGGAGCCGGGCGCCATGGCGGGCCCGCGTTGAAAACGAGACCCAGATTTATCCTCTTTGTTCTCCCTCGACGACTCGTAGGCTTTCCGCGCCTCACCGAGGAGGGGCCGCCGAGGAGAAGCTCTCCCTTTCCGAGCGAAGGAGGAGGCAGGAGTAGCAGCAGCAGCAGCGGCGGAGGAGGCGTCGGCAACGGCTGAACCGGGAGGTGTTTTCTACCGCACGAGCCGAATGGCGGACCGTGAGGCGTCGCCGATACCGTTAGAGATCCGAGCCCGGCTGGCGGAGCTGGAGCTGGAGCTGTCAGAGGGTAAGAATTTAATTTTTTTTAAATTGGGCGAAAAAAACCTCGTCCCCCCTCCTCCTCCCTCGTTATCTCATCACCACCACCACCACCACCATCATCACCATCCACACCGGGACATACTAACGGAATCTAGCCGTTCATTCCTGCGGCCCCCTCCTCCTCCTCCTCCTCTCTTCCTCCTGCTCCTCCCATCCAGATGTTTGTCTGCCGGCCCGGGCAGCTCTGTGTAGCCGGTAGAGGATGAGGGCAGAGCGGGAACACACTGCGGGATTGGGCCGCTGGTCTTTGTCTCCGCGGTGGTGCCGTTTAAAAAAAAACACCCGACCGGTTCTCCGGTTTTGGGTCCGAAAAGCAACCTATTGTTTGACCTTGAGATGTTGACAGCCTACCTGTAATGGTGTGTGCGGGTGTGTGTGGTCAATAATTGCATTGCGATGCAACGCTGCGTGCAGAGCCGCACAGAGGGCAGTTTGGCTGCTGATGCCCGTGATCTCAGCCTCCTGCCTCTGTGCTTTTTGGGCCTGTGGAGCAGATGAGGGTGAGGAGGATGCTTGGGTATATTTTTCACCCCCACCCCACACCCAACCCTCTTCTTTTTCCATAAACAGATACAAACACTCTCCTTCTATGGGCCATTGAATCTCAATCATAGCAATCCAGCCTGGAGTTATTTCAGTATAACCCATCTCAGATAGGAACATGGCATGTCTTCCTTATATAATGGAGATGGCATATTTTATTCATACAGGCTTGGGAAGGCCTACATTGTGAGGGAGGAAGCCTACATACATGCTGGATGTGAGCCACCCTGTTGCCTGAAATGAAAAGAGACATTTGTGTAATTGTGATGCGCCGCAGCAAACCAGGGTTAATGATGTTGCTTTGCAGCAAAAATCCGATATTGCGCCGTTGAAGGTGAAGCTGTAGATTCAGCTTTACTCGTCTGTCACTTGTGTCAGGTCTACAAAGCCTGCAGTGAAAGCTGCCTCACCTGCAGTAATGTGCAACTGAAAACAGTCTCAGGGTCTCCAGCATGATGCAGAATAGATGCTGTGTTAAGGGTTTAATTTCTGGGGCGAATTCGGAATAATTAAGCATGAAAGGGGATCAAATGTATAAGTAGAGACAATCAGGAATCTGCGGCTTTAATCCCTAAAAACATCAGTGCTAGTCTTTGAAATCCCCCGAGAGCAGCCAAACCTCGACACATCAAACTGTCCCTTTCCTCCTGATCAGCTTCATCATTAATAAAGCCTTTATTTTCTCTCACTGCAGTGAAATACACACGCACGCTGAGGTAAAAATGTGGCAGCTGCAGGCCTATTGGAGCCCCTAATCCAGCCGGGAGTGTTTATCAGAGCAGAACCTGCTGCTGGCAGATGTTATTAATGATGGATACGGCGGGAGGAAGTGGAAACGTCACAACAGAACATCAGACAAAATGAAACACTCCTTAGATTCAGGTGTGTGTGTGTGTGTGTGTGTGTGTGTGTGTGTGTGTGTGTGTGTGTGTGTGTGTGTGTGTGTGTGTGTGTGTGTGTGTGTGTGTGTGTGACTGGCAGGGTTATTGGATCCCAGCAGGCTGACAGGTCTCAGTGTGATGGACGTGTCAGTGTGTCTTTCACTGGTGGTGGGTGAATGTGTCTGCTATTGGTTTGTGAACACTAGTTCTTACAATGTAAGTGTGCATGATGAGGCATCTTATTAAAGAAGCTTAACATTGGAACGGAAAGAGAATCACTAATGTACATCACAAGTTCCCAGACATCAGGCTAATGTCTTCTGTTATACACACTCTCCAAAACAGACACAAAAAATAAACCGATGAAACGCACAGCAAAAAAATAATACATTGAATTTTTTGAAAATCTTGAGGCTTAGAAATGTGTTCGAGAGAAGCAGCTGAAAACAGGAAGTATTAGGGGCCTTTGCTTCGTAAATGACCTTAACAAAAACAGTAATCAGTCAATAGTTTGCATGACTCCTTTCAGCAATCACTTCATAAGAGGAAGCATCCCGAAATTCAACAAAAAGAGACCTTCTGCAAAACCACTACTGGCAGGGAAGTAAAGCAAGTCTTCCTAACAAGGTTTTCAATTCACAAAGACCTCTGCTTCAAATAAAGAAGATAGTTTGAGGACACGGAGCAGTGGTTGTTATTGAGATGCAGAGCAGTGAACCTCAGGCAACAATTTCCTGTCAGATTTGATGGCACGAAACTTTTTATTCTGCATCTTTGAGAAGACGAGCCGACACACTCCACCTGTTTATTAGATAAAGTCAGCAATCAGCCGAGCTTTGGCAGATAAGCCTCTCTGCCGCTCCATCGCTTAGCGTCGCCTAAATCACATCATCTCTGGCGTATTACTGCGACCTCCAGGCATTAGGCGATGCTCTCCAGCGCTCTTATGCAGAGGGACGCTGAGAGGGGACAAACAGAGCTGACCATGCACTTGTTGGATGATAGCGGGATGGGCCTCTTTAACGGCCTGGTGGATCAGGAGCTGTGTATGGAAACAACCTCGAGTGCTCAGATGTCCAGCAGACCTCAAAGTAACCGTTAGAGCCTTGAAGCTGTCCCTGAAGATGCTCTGGGGAGGTTTTGTGTGCATTGTTTTTTGCCAAAAGCATGTTTAGGCCAATAGAGAGGCGAAGTCCCGCCCTTTCCGGGGGAGCTCCATGGGACCTTATTTCGGAAAAAGTATGTATTGAAGTTAGAGATGTCCCGATCCAATCATGTGATCGGGGATCGGAGCCGATCACGTGATTTTCAAAAGATCGGAATCGGGAGAAAAAAATCGGGGATCGGGAT